CTGACCACTATAAATATATAGTGGTGCTATATATAAACTGACCACTATAAGCATATTTAGTAGTGCTATATATAAACTGACCACTATAAATATAAAGTAGTGTTATATAAAAACTGACCACTATAAATATATAGTAATGTTATATATAAACTGACCACTATAAATCTAAAGTAGTGTTATATATACACTGACCACTATAAATGTATAGTAGTGTTATAAATAAACTGACCACTATAAATGTATAGTGGTCAGTTTATATATCACACTACTTTAGATTTATAGTGGTCAGTTTATATATCACACTACTTTAGATTTATATATAAACTGACCACTATAAATATATAGTGGTGTTAAATATAAACTGACCACTATAAATCTAAAGTAGTGTTATATATAAACTGACCACTATAAATGTATAGTAGTGTTATAAATAAACTGACCACTATAAATATATAGTAATGTTATATATAAACTGACCACTATAAATATATAGTGGTTTTATATATAAACTGACCACTATAAATCTGAAGTAGAGTTATATATAAACTGACCACTATAAATGTATAGTAGTGTTATATATAAACTGACCACTATAAATATATAGTGTGTTATATATAAACTGACCACTTTAAATCTATGTAGTGTAATATATAAACTGGCCACTATAAATATATAGTAGTGTAATATATAAACTGGCCACTATAAATATATAGTAGTGTAGTATATTAACTGACCAATATAAATCTTTGTAGTGTTATATATAAACTGATTTATTCAGCTTTAATTTGGATTCGTACTTAAATCAATATGTGAGGCGTGATTGTACGATGATGTCATATAATCTCAATCAAGATCAATCTTCAAAATTCCAATTAGACGTTTGCCAAGAAGGATAAGTCACAACAAATCGTAAACACATCCAAATAAAGAGAGGTATGTAGGCCAGTGTGCGATGTGTTTCCATTAATATCTGGCTATACACTATATGGGAGACATGCGTGTGCCTGTGATACAAAGTTATCGGCATCACTTGATGTCTAGCTATGACAGTTATTCAGACGAGGAATAATGGGGCAGGTTACCTGGGGATCTCAGAAACGTTTGGTACCAGACAGGACCAGTGTGGACCAGACCGTGACGACGTTGTGTTAGTTACAATGTTACATGTATGATGTCTGTATTAATGGTTTATGTTTAATATTCACTTTACCTGTTTCTCACCCATAAAACACTAACCCGAAGTTTCATGAGAGTAATGCGAATTCCCTTCAACTTTGAAATATGATCGGACTATATAATATAGTTGTACGCCGAGCCAATTAGAAATATTAAAAACCTCTATGAAAATTTATGAAAATTTATGTTAAGCATATAACTTAATATGAAATGTAAGCCAGCTAGTGTGTCTGCTGTTTTCTTTGACTTATGTACAAATGTGATATATGACATAGTTCTCTTCATATAATGAGTCAACAATACGTCACCAGTGTATATGTAAGATCAGTGTAGTAAACGAATTAAGGATTGGCGATGCACTTGAATATATATAGATATAGATATGGAACATATTTGTAACAAACAGATTTGTGAACAAATGTGTGTATTTATTAGAGAGAGTGACGTCGTCTACCACATTTCTCGTATACTATACCTGTTTAACGTGTGGAAGTAGAATTACAACGTGCATGTATCTAGATACCGCTGAGCTCAGGGAATGATTATCAGGATGAAGAGTAAGTACCACAGTTAAAACATTAGAAATGTGATACTAGGAATTAATCTGATAAAGCAGGACTGCGGTGGACTTCGAAAAGCCATGTTTACCGACGGTAACCATGGAGACGAGCGACTATTTAATTGATGATCATAATGATTTATCAAAAATAGGAGTTTTGAAATATAAGTTACTTGTTGACGACATGCATGACCTCATCAGAAATGCGTCTTTTAATGTCAGAGACATGTTTACGCTGTAGGATGGAGTCGTTCCCGCCTTGTCTGTTATAGTTTGTCCTCGGGGTGAAATTTAATTTCAGCAAATTATTTTGTTGTGAAGTAACACATAAAGCTATTCCCGGATCCCCCTCCTACATCCGGGTATGATTGCTGCCTTACGTGTGTGGAATAAAGAATATTATTATAATTTCGGTCACCTTGATAAACTGAAATCTTTTATATAGTTAAATATACGACTTTGTATCTGTGACAAGCTGAACCAAATTAATCTGATTTAATAAATCGATCAAAGCGATTACTGCGCCGTTCACAAAATGGTAGCTGTCGATGGCTGTTCGGATAAAGTTAAAGAGAGAACATCTAATTAGAACCTGGTCACGCTTCACCAACAATTATTTTTTACCACAGCAGCAAATATAAATTAACAGTCTGAAACAACCCTCCTACACAAATAAGCCTTTCCTCATTGAGAAGCATGAACTGTTCTATATAGCTATTCTGTAAGTCCTCGCCCAGAGTAACATCTGGATAGATTGTATCTGTATGATTTATCATATTTTAAGGTGAAATAACAGCTAAACATCACCTCTACTGGGCGTTAACAAGCTGGGACGTATTTACTGGTGATTGTTATCGAGTATTGCCACCTACGAACAAACTAGCCTAAACTGTATCGTCAAAGCGCCACCTACCGTCCAACTAGCATCAACTGTATCGTCAGAGCGACACCTACCGACAAACTATAATGTACTGTAACGTCAGAGCGCCATCTACCGACAATATATATCATAAACTGTATCGTCAGAGCGACACCTACCGACAAATTACCATCAACTGTAACGTCAGAGCGACACCTACCATCATAAACTGTATCGTCAGAGCGCCTCCTACCGATAAACTATCAAAACTGTATCGTCAGAGCGCCACCTGCCAACAAACTACTATAACCTGCAGCATCATAAACTGTATCGTCAGAGCGCCTCCTACCGATAAACTATCAAAACTGTATCGTCAGAGCGCCACCTACCGACAAACTACTTTAACCTGTAGCATCATCAACTGTATCGTCAGAACGCCACCTACCGACATGACAAACTTTCATAAACTGTAAAGTCAGAGCGCCACCTACCTAGCGCCGCGCTGTCGGAACAGTGGTGTCTTCCATCAATGTTATATCATATCTAGAGAGTAATTGATCGTCCCATCGTATTAAAAAATATATTCAAACAAATTATAGGTGAAGAAAAACGTTGTTTCCTTATAGAATCTTGTCATTATACAACTTTATACACTGTTTTATTCCTAATCAATTACCCTAGCACACCGTCAGACACCCTAGCTTTCTGTTACAACGCCACCTGGTAGCCGCAAAAGACCATTGCAGATACAGTGTCAATAATAATTCACCAAAAATGGATAGTATTAAGTTGTTTTGCCATCAGAATTAATAAAGAAATTCATATTTAATGCTGTACCCCCTGATGTTCAACTTCGTTTGGTTTGTAATCCATTACACATTTTGTAAGCTAAATGTTTCCAGATGTTTATTTATCACTACAGCTGTACAACCATCGAGCCTTATATGACTCCGTTTTAACGTCTTATATCATTTTTTAATACCATCAGTCATCCTTTCTAATTGATCCCTATGAATTTTCATGAATTGAAATGTTTCTATTTCATTTGCCTAATAGCATTATTTCATTAGTCTGTGTCTCATATACAAATCTATCATGTCTTTGATGTAACGACAGTTTTCATTAGTAATAATCATGTCTATTAGACGATAAATCATGCATGAGCATGGATTATTTTCCAACTGACCAGCGGTTTTTTTTTCCAAAAACGTCCCCGCAATGTAAACAAGCAAGCCGAGGGACTAGTTCCTTTGTCGAATTATGGTACACGCATTTAATTATGTATTTTTTTGAAGATTTGCTAGTTGAAAAACACAATTATGTTTAACTCTAGATCGACTTTAAACCTGTCAAGGTCACTATCAGAATGTCCGCCAAACTTACCGCGATTTAATGTGTTGACGAGAAATGTCGATAGATTGGTGGTTTTGATTGCTTGAAATAAACATCATGGTATAAAGCATGACATCAGTGTTAATTGTTTATAGTCTGTCGATTAAATCACCACTAAAAAAAAAATCCCAAGTATATCCATGTTATATAGACAAACAGGACAATTGTCCACAGTCTCAACAATGATAAAAACGCGCAGCTTATTTTGAAATGAAGATATAAAGGTATAACGTGACGAATATTGACACAGCTTAATTTAAATAATAATTGTATTAAGGTCACCCTGTTTGTCACAGGCGAGTGAACACAGAGGTAGACACGAAAAAGACTTTAATAACATTTTACTAGATATATAACCAACATAGGTTTGTATATATGGTGGAAAATATAACTCAGGATTCGAAAATGTTGGAAAAATAATCACCTCACGCCACAAGCGGTCTTCGTTTTATAACTATACGTTTGGTTCTCAACGGTCATATCAAAAATACCGAGAGAATGGAAATTCGCTTTATTATGTTAACAATCTTACAAATAATTGTCTCCCCATATGCTCACACAAATAACAACGATTCCAATTTTATAGCAGGTTTCTTATATACTTACACTGTACATACATGTAACACAGGAAATATTATTACATATTTACATTGGGGTATACGTAAATCAACAGGCGCTATATATCTATTTTGTTTTATATTTTTTTAAATTATATATAAGGAGTTTAATATTCCTGAGTCAAACAAGGAAATGGCGTATTTCCTTTTCATTACTGACCCATGGTACAGAATAGCGACACCATAATTAATCATTTTGCTGTTGTTCAAATGAGCATGCAGTGCACTTCCTACCGAGCATCAACCTAAACCTTTACGGTAGGGAGCGGTCTGTGGATAGTAAATGACATTTTGGTTGTTTATTGTAAACATTGTCAAACTAGATATGTGTAGTGGTTAATGTATATAGTGTCTATAGTTTATTTCGATCTAAACTGTTCCGTTTTATTTTTTTCAGGGTTAGTGATGTGCCCAGAATTGGCCAAACGCCACATTTTTATAACGAAAAACAACAGTGACTCGTTCAAGTTGACGACATACAGACGACATCCGGGAACTAGCGTCGTCATATCCTGTATTGCACCGGAAACACATCGACTAAAGGGCGACCCCTTTTTAAAATGTCTTCATAACGGTCACTGGAACAAGCCAATTCCTCGCTGTATCCATGGCAACGTCTGGGATAGTCGATTTAAGTCACCATCCAATGATCTGACCATCGCAGGTAAAACAGTTTATGAAATCAACATAGTGCATTCGAAATATTATCCGATATATTTCTTTTCGGGTTTGAGGTATGAATAGTTTGACTCTTTTGTCAGGTGACAGAATAGTTTAATACCAAACATGGGTCACTGATAATTCTTTACCTTCTTTTACAGTTTTGCAGTTTAGAAAATATCAGAGACCATTATTTACTTAACTTTGAAATAGTGAACTTGATGTAATCATTGAATATGGCATTGTGTCGTATCTCCTTATATAAATATCAAATGTAGAAATGGTTGTTATACAAGGTAGCATCTACGTAAAACTTAAATATTGATATTTATATAATTCGCTCTCTACATTGAAACTCAAGTGACGGCGTGATGAAATGTTCTTAGTGACATTACATTTCACCGCACACATGTATTCACGTGTCATTGGCAAAATATATGTTCGTTCAACTCAACATAAAATGATCATAAAATTAACAATTGTACTGGTTTAATAGTTTTTCACCTTTACAGTCAGAGAATACTCACCATTATTTGATTATATCATGGAATTAGATCTAAGTCTGTGATTACATTAGTCAGAGACGTACAAACTACTTAACATGTATCTGCATAAGTCAATGATTTCTCCAGTGTTGTGCCTATCGGCTGATATAATATATTTTGAACTTCCGAACAATGTTCAGCCTGCTGTGCTCACAATACTCCCAATGCGCATGCATTCATAATCACCGGGCGATTGTAAGCGATACGATCTGACTGTGGACAGCGGAATCCCTGGACTCCAAATATCTCACGATTCTCTTTAGGGACCACGGAACCAAATCAAAAATAGATTGTGGCTTTTTCCCTTTTGGGCAGAAGATTTAATAGAAAGGTGAATGCCTCGGGGCCGGCTGGTTGGATATGAAGGTGGCAGAAGTTTCAAAAGTTTCATGTGTGGGTTGAGCAATATATATAGATGTAATATGTATAAAAAGAAAAAAAACAAGTCTGGTTTTGTCTGGGTGAGTTTATTAAGTGTGTAATTTGTTGTAAATTTTGTTCGATTTTTGGTGCCAAATTCAATACAAGATGGCAGCCCCCATATAAAAAAAAAGTTCAAATTGGCAGAATTTTGAAATATTTTTTTTTACAGTTGTGTGAGATGCTATTCTTCAAAATGAGGTCAGGTAAACCAGTGTGGATAACTCCATTTAACCAGGACAGTGGTAAACGTTAACACTATCGTCTATGGAAAATCATTTGGTTCCGCGGTCCCTTTAGTGTTTGTCAGACAGAACAGCGTTAAGTAGGTCCTTCTGCTATCCATTTCGAGAATCGAATGTCAGCGAAACAAACTTCTACGTTAACTTTAAATGACACATGTACAGTGTGATGCACTGCTGACCCTCATATCTAATGTCTCTACTTACAGGTCACAGTCCTCAGAAATCTGCCGGGGCTATATCTCAGACCGAGGCTCTACCGTACGTTATCACTGTCTCCGTTCTCGCGTTCATGTTCATTGCACTCATCGCCGCGATCGTCTACCTGGCCTATCTCCGCCGACGTCTGGAAACTTCTATAAAGCAGGTAGAGGCTCGACCTGCGCATGTCAGAGCTGTCGACAGGTACATTATAGAATCCGTTTCTATGACAAGATCAACGTAAAATTTATTCTCTATGTAATTTCATAGATAAATATTTACCTAAATTCAGGTAAAAGTAGTATTTTTTAAAGATTATTATGTTATTAATTAATTCAAGTAAAAATCAACAAACGTTTGGTCCTCATATTTTATCAGACAATGACACAAAAAGGAAATATTGGATTATTTTTCTAGTTTAAATGTCTTAAACTTGAAAATAAATGTGGACTAGTATTGAACGAAAAAATAATTTGTCGATTTCGCAATAATATGATTTGGTCTCACCGTGCTTTCTTCTGCAGTATGACGTCACTGCCCACGACGACATCAACAGCCTATGACTTTTCCATGAATATAGACGGCGCCCCGTACGTCTCTTCCTCCGGAACCAGTTCCCCTACGTATGGCCCGGATGTAGAGTACCCTCCGTGGAATACGTATCCCCGGCTACACCAGTCCAGACTAAAGTTGGAGACCGAGAGCACGTGCGGGTCAGTGCGATACACCACCGTTTCTGACTACCTTGTGTACAAATAGATCCTATGGGACAAGGGAATTATAACAGCAAGTGGACAAAGGTCTAGGAACACGTGCTTCATTATAATCAACGATACGCAATATGGTGATAGCTTCAAACAGCGAGAGTTCTAAAAACGTCTCAACTTACTGTACATTTCTATTCATTGTCATTGTTGAACACACGTCTTTGACAAGGACATGTGGCGGTATTCCTTTACTTTCCAGAGCGATGAGACGTTTATCACTCCGTTTCTATTGATCTGTCTCACCTGGACTCTTGTAACTCTGGAGTGATTTATTGCAGACTTTCGGCACATTTTATCACTTCACAGTACAAGTGTTGTAAATGTCAGCAGTGAAAAAAGCGGTATATATTGTTAATACACAGTGACTGTTCTGTTAATACACGTGAATACATTGTTACAGTATCTGTTTTTTATGATATTTCTGTATAAGTCTCTATTATTTGATTTCCCCGGCATTCGTCCTTACAACACCCAGAGCCGCTTTCGTTTATCGCTATACAAACGGTTGAACCGGTTGGACCAGAGTTGTTCGATTATGAAATAAGATCGAACCCAGTAAGCTGATGCTGCTTTCAGGCGAGCCTCGACAAAGCCTTGTAAGGGCTGCATAAACCTTTGCAGGTTTGCCAGGAATTATACCCGAAAATGTTACATTTAAAAACAGACAAACTGGTTGTTCAGCATAAATGTACAGGACTCGATTTGTAAAATTATGTCGTACCATTTCCAGTTACATACTTTGTATAATTGATGCAGGACATGCATTATTTTCGTCTGTACATTATCCAGTCCTTACGCAATGAAGTAAAGATGTTCAAGCGTTATTATTTCTGAACTAAGTTGAGTTTAACAGTGTTTGGATATATCACAGGGGCTTCACGTCCGATCTGTATTTTTGATATCTAACAAAATGTCTACCTTCAAAGTTGGTAAAATAGCAGTTAATGTTGTAAGCATACCATCCAATATCTACAAGTTTCAGAATCGACATAAATTTGAATATAGATAGAGATTGCATGAACTGTTTCTCTTGCTTTGCATGAAACTCATTTTCTATGAAGTACAATACGTTTTATTGTAAATATGTGAAACCATACACTATATCAGCGTGTTAATATAACACGCGTTTATTCTGATATTTAAATGTATAATAACATTCTATATATAGAAGAAAAAACCATGATAATTGACTTCCTTTTTCTAACGCGCATGTATGTGTTCAATAAACAGGGTCGACATACTCCTTAATGATGTATGTACCACAGTGTACACGTAAGTGATGTCAATGTCATTGGACGCCAACTGACATTGCATTCATAGCGATATGAATGCATTAGGAGTGAGGTAGTTGTTATAATTGTAAAGTTAATATACTTCATTATGTATATTTTGTTGTGTAGTATTTATTTATATATTCATAACACTGTAATATCCCACTCAATAAATCCACAGTATAGTATAATGGTACTTGTCTATGTCATTTATCTGAGACTGAAGGGTGCATATATTAGTTTAAACATATTGTATTGACAACATATTGACAAAGGGATTAGTCGGTAAGTTTTTCCAACTTATCAATTGACTTCTCCCGTGCATATATGTTTAAGACGAAGTGCAGGTCTGTTGATGTATGATGATGTGTGTGTGCATGTGTGTACATGTATGTGTGCATGTGTGGTGTGCATGTGTGCATGTGTGTGTGTGTGTGTGTGTGTGTGTGTGTGTGTGTGTGTGTGTGTGTGTGTGTGTGTGTGCATGTGTGTATGTGTGTATGTGTGTATAGTGTATGTGTGTATGTGTGCATGTGTGTATGTGTGTATAGTGTATGTGTGTGAGTGTATGTGTGTATAGTGTATGTGTGTATGTGTACATGTGTGTATATGTGCATGTGTGTATGTGTGTATGTGTGTATAGTGTATGTGTGTATGTGTGCATGTGTGTATGTGTGTATAGTGTATGTGTGTGAGTGTATGTGTGTATAGTGTATGTGTGTATGTGTACATGTGTGTATATGTGCATGTGTGTATGTGTGTATGTGTGTATAGTGTATGTGTGCATGTGTGTGTGTGTGTATGTGTGCATGTGTGCATGTGTGTATGTGTGCATGTATGTGTGTGTATGTGTGTATGTTTGTGTGTATGTGTGTATGTATGCATGTGTGTGTGTGTGTGTATGTGTGCATGTGTGCATGTGTTTGTGTGTATGTGTGTGTGTGTGTGTGTATGTGTGCATGTGTGCATGTGTGTATGTGTGCATGTGTGTATGTGTGCATGTGTGTAGGTTTGCTGGAGGAGGAGTAGGTTGGTATGTTTGCCTCCTTGCGATAACGCAGATCTGATGCCGACTTTATAGTGCTATCTCACTGAAATACCATGCCAAAGACACCCCGCACAACAGTCCGCCCGGTCACATTATACTGACAACGGGTGAACAAGTTGTTGCGATAATCCTAAATGCTGAACGTTCAGCAGGGAATAGCAACTACCATGTTGAAGGATTTGGATATGTCCCGGCCTGGGGACAAAACCCATTGCCTTCCTCGCCTGGGCGAACGTTCCACATTAAAGACAAAACTGAGGTATTTCCAAGCAAGACTTTAGGCAACGAAAGGTATATAGAAGTAGAGAGAAACATAAAGATCAAAAGCATTCCAATTGATGCAGCAGATTTATTTTCGTGGGCACAAACGCTAATCCTCCGTTCTGCAGGGGTTTATGAGATATATTGTGCATCAGGGTTTTTTTCTACGGCCGCACAAACGGACGGACACGTACATATGTATTGCAAAAAGTAGACAAGGGATCAGGCACAAGTTATAGCAACTTATCAACGCCTTTTCCAATAAGTATATACAATTATAATCACAGTTTAAGCTCAAAATCTATTGCTGGATTTAATAACGCTGTGCACATATCTAAAATGTTAGTGTTAATGTCCACGGAAAATTGTAAACAAGTGGATGAGGTGGGTATTAAAAAATCCCAAGAACTGCTATGTCTTTGTCTAGGTCTTTGCAATATACATAAATATTCAACAATATACTACATGTGATATGGCACGTGCGTAGAATGTGGAATCACGAGCGGTAAAGCAACCAACACAGAACCTGCACAAGTGTCATCATTTGTTGGCGTACCAGATAAATCAGGAGGCACGGTAGTCTATAGTGGTAGGACGCCGGGCTCGTGACCGAAGGGTTGCGGGTTCGACTCGCGTCACGGCACTGTGTTGTATCAATACGTGGTTGGGCAGTGCTAGAATTGTTGAATGGTAGCTGCGAGCGCCGAAATGGCAACACCGGCTGTATACTCCCCAGGGAGTTGAGAAAGATATTGGCTTGTTGCAAAGGCCCTATAACCACTGATAATAATTTGTGAACCTCGAATTATAATAATAATTATTATTATTATGAACGAGAGCGCAATACAGTATACCTGATGTACACGTGCACACGTCAAAAATATCATTTTAACGTAATAAAGGCATTATCTACGGGTTTTTTTAATTCCAGCTTTTGAAGACATGTCTAACAAAACAAATCAAAAATGTTATTATGTGACGACTAAATGTGTACCTCTGAAATTCGGTCTCGTCACGTGACTAATTGTTAAAGGGAGATAACAACCTGAAGACGTCTACTATAGGATCAGAACGAGGCGACCAATCAGCGTATCACCGACACATCAATCAACATTTCTTAATTATAATTTTTTTGCAATATCATTTTATATAAACGGAAGTTTTACAAAGTAATAAAAATTAGATAAATCATCACAATTTTAACAATTTGATATACATTACTCGAAGATAATAAAATAATTCATATCCTCATAATATACATTAATGATAAATCGGTTCAACTTTAAAAATCATTTTATTTTATTTCTTCAATACCACAGTGCGGTTAACTTTCTATATATAGAGAGATATGCACAGTATACATCACACAACATCTCACAGTGACTGGAAGAATGAGCCAATTATACGCTATCTATTGTCAAGTCAGCTGTAAATACTGGACGTTACTGTTGTATAATATTTAGTACAAAAAGTCAGGAGAAAATAGATAAGATCTTTCCTTTGCCTGTAATCATGAAACCGTTCTCATGCTCAAGCATGGATTTTGTGCTCAAACCATCTTTCTTTTAACTCGCTTAAATCATGTCAAACTATCAAAAAGTCAAATGTAAAAACTGAAAACAGTTTTCAGCTTTAGATCTCTCCAAAGGTCCTCCAAATCATTGACAAAATAAGATTTTTTTTAATTCATAACGGGAACAAAAAAAAATGGCTTGAGCACAAAATCCATGCTTGAGCATGAGAACGGTTTCATGCTCAAGCATTAATTTTGTGCTCAAGCCTTATTTCTTATGCTGGTTATAAATTAATTTTCAAAAAATCATCAATGATTTTGAAAACAATTGAGATGACTTGAAGCCGAATAACATTTTCCAACATTTACACTCAACTTTTTTTTTATTCTTTGACAAGATTTATGTGAGTTACAAGAAACTTGGTTTGAGCACAGAATCTGTGCTTGAGCATGAGAACGGTTTCATGTCCTGGGCCCGTGAAACCGTTCTCGTGCTTAAGCATAGACTCTGTGCTCTATTCTACTTTCCTGTAACTTGCTTAAATCATGTCAAACGACCAAAAGTAAAAATGTAAACACTAAAATAAGTACTCAGCTTTAAGTCTCTTCAACAGTTTTCCAAATCATTGACGATATATATTGTTTTTATGAATTAATAACCAGATCAAGAAAATAAGCTTGAGCGCAAAATCCATGCTGATCTTTAGTACACTACTTTTGCCGACAATAGTATAGATAGTTCTGTGATATGTTTTGTTTAGTAGTGCCGACGATTGCCTGGTAGTTTTTTTTTTGTTTTTTTTTTTCTAAATGTTTATTTTCTTTCTGTATCATATACATGATATACATTGCCTAAATTAGCTACATATATTGCATTACAATATAAAAAAATCATTTGTTTTGCTTCTTCATTTTCAACAAGACTTCTGCTCTTGTTTGGTGAATTCTTACATACTTTCTTTCAACTTCCATATAGATCATATTATGAGATTTGAGATTACCCTACTATATCTTGTCATAATTGCGCAAGAATAGGTCCTCTACATCAGCGTTCCTTGTCCGCGATGTTCTCAGCTTAACTGCTGCCTTCGGTTGTCTTTAGCCGAGGGGACTATTGGTTTTATATAATAGCTATATTTTCAATTATAGTATATCAATTCTATCTCCTTTTAATATTATGTATATGTACATGTAACTGTTCTGTTTCACTGTGTCTTGATAAAGGAGCGGATCGCTCCGAAAATTTGACAACCTAAACTTGTCCACACTGTTGGAATTACTTCTTTGCCCCATATACTATTTTAAGTAATTCGTATCCTACGGACATACCTCCATTAGGATTCAGTGTTATATGGGATTTTACCGTCTATATTACTTCTTTGACCCAGGCCATAATTTATATATACATTGTATTTCAGTACAATTTCACAAGATAAGTTTCCTTTAATAATGGCCTGTTTTGTATATAAATGAATACCGGTTTTTGAACAGAGTATATATATTACATAATTTTAAACTTGTTGAGATACAGAATGGTTTTTTTTAGTATTTTTTGGGGGGGACATAAACACAGCACATAGCATTTCTTATTTTTCTACATGGTTCTTACACAAGTGTTTTGCTCGTTAGTTTTATTCTTACTTACTTTTGTTATGTGTGATGCTCTGTAGTACTATCGGGGGTTATCCGATATTGATGGGAGCGTTCTATCAGCGACAGGTGTCGTATTCCTTTGATGTTTGGATGCTTTGTCATCCTTGTCAGAAAATATAAAATACACACCCTCAGGTGTCAAACAACGTGTGGTATCACTGTTTTGTAGATGTATGAGTCTGTGGAATTATTAATTATATTTTAATGCATAAAATATATACAAATATAAAATGTTTTATATCAAAAAATCAAAAATATTTAAGGATTAACTTGAATATATTTTTCATGTTATGGAGATATAACACTAAAAAACGGAGTGTACTCTAAATAAACTGCTTATAATGAGAGTACACTCCGTTTTTTTGTTATAGCTCCATAACACAAAAAATATATTCAAGTTAATCATTATAAGTTAATCTACCATACACAATCCCTGTGGAAATACACTTTTATTGATGGACCCTTTTCACTTAGAAATTATTGCGCTGCTGTATCAGCCAATCAAAAGCGACGTTACAAACGGCGACGCCATGTTTTTACGTTATGGGCTGATAACGAAAATTGTTAAGCCAATGAAAATGCTAGTTACAACAAAGATGAAATTATTTTGTCATAGGTCGGATGTCTCGCTCTTTATCCTCATTTATCCCCATTAACGTAAAACATTCTTTCTGTGGTTCCACAAGTGATATCAAAAACA